AAAAAAAAAAAAAGGGTGGGGTGGGGTGGAGAAGAAAGCAGGGACCAAGATTTCTTACCAAACAATCGCAGCAAGTGTTGTGCCCCATAAATGTAGGAGGGTGGAGGAGGCTGGTCACCTGGAGGGTAACTGTCCGGTACAAGTTTCCAGGAGAGGACCTGGGAAGAGCACGAATTGCATGCTTTGTTATTATATCTCCACGCTCCTTTACCAACGGATCTCAACATCTGGAATTCCAGCAGAAATACAGGTGCTTTGACATTCTCTGGCCAGTAGGTCGATGTCAACAAGTGCCACACTCCCACCCCCAAGCTTCCAATCCCTCTGGCACCTAAGATGTTGCTCCGAAACTGGACCAGAAAATGGGAGAAAACAGTGACAACCAACCAACGTGGAAGTTCTGAAGATAGCCCTTTGACTTTCCCATGGAGCTCTTTGTAGGCATGATCTCAGGATATAGGAGATTATAATGTATTTTTATGCTGACGAGGATCAAGCTACAAAATAATTAAGTTCAATACAACACTTGCAAAAAAATGCACAATATAAAACATTGTGTATAATTAGGTAAATACATAGAAAAAATACCAAGAAGTGTATACCAAAATGTTAATGTTCATTTCTTAGTGGTGGAATTATGACACAGGGGGCATAGAAGATATAGAAATATGTTTTCCATATAGATTATACATTAGCACATATTACAGTTTTCTACTATAATTTTTCAAAACATTTTTGCCTTTAAATCAATCACAGAGGATCCAACTTCCTTGGCAACATGGAGACACTTCTAATCACCTGGAAATTATGATAATAAATTCTGTAGACAATAAAATATGTCACTATCAAAATAAACATAAGCTTATAAAAATAAAAGTGTGGGGGGAGAATTAAAATTAGACTAAGGAAATATTTGATTTCCTAATTTCCAACAGCTACTACCTACCAATTAGCTGTATCTGTTTAGGTCATTTTGCCCCCTTTCCTTTACTGGAAATCCTGCTGTATTAGAGACTGAAGCAGTAAAAAGTAACCCAAAGATATTTTGAGTAATATTACTATTGCTTCAAAATTCTCTAATTGCTGCTGTTATATTCACTTTGGAAACCAATTTGACCCATTGAATCAAGTGAAAATAGCCATCAACCCTGAAAATACTTACAATCTGACCCTTTACAGAAAAAGTTTGGTGACCCCCGGTCATCAAATGCTCTCTGCTAGTCATGTTCCCCCATATACAGTAAACAAGGAAATCCCACCTCCTAGGTGAGATTCACAGAATATCCTGTCAGACTAACACATCTCCTGAATCCCTGAAACACTCACTACCTACATCAGTTAAGTGGCTTTAAAAACAGAGTTTTTAAGTGAAAAGTTTCCCCACCTGTACAACGGAAACCTGGTGCAAGGTAAGAATGTGAGGTAATTAGGTCCAGTGCCTGGCATAATGCTCACACACAGCACACACCCAAAGGGATGGCTATCAGTATTATTGCTAAGGATCAATTTTATATTTTTAAATGGTTGGAAATATAGCAAAAACAGAACAATGTCTCACAATACATGAAAATTATCTGATATTCAAATCTGTGTCCACAATAGTTTTATTGGAACACAGCATGCTCACTCATTTATAGTATCTATGGCTACTTTTGGAGTTGGGCAGTCTTATCAGACATTGTGTGGCCTGCAAAGCCTAAAATATTTACTCTCTGGCCTTTTGCAGAAAGTGTTCTGACATCTATTCTATAAAATGAAAACATAGTAGGTCCTTGGATCACATCATTTTATTATAATGTTGAAAGGCTGTAGGGATTTAACTCTTGTTTATATCAATTAACCTATGGTAATATTGGTTTCATTATATGTTGTTCACTTCAAGTCGAAGAACCTATCCACGACACTAGGGCTGGAATCCTAACAATTTTCTCATTTTAGAAACCAAAAATGCAGTGTTACACATCATACGAAGAATTCTGTTAATATCCACAGCAAGAGCAACATAACGCTTCTGAGGAAACTCCATTTCCTGCCACAGGACTTAAGCAACCACAAAAGGAAGGGCTCACTGGGGATGAGCAGCAGACATTAACTCTACCTCATTTATTTCATTAGTTCTTCTGCCTTCAAAGGTGGCAAACACCGCACTCCCTTCCTTGCTAGGGGTCACAGGAACAGGTGACGATGATCTGCTATGCACAGGTGTCTCTTCAAAAGGAACAGATGTTAATTATTCACTTATAAATCACATAGCTATGAATTAAAGACTGCTGGAAGACAGTTACAAATAGCAGAGAAGTTATTAATCTTTAACAATAAGACTCTCCTAGTATAAGACAGTACCTAGAACCTAGAATATTACTTGGCAAAAAAAAGAAAAAAGAAAAAAAAGGAATCAAATACTAATAGAAACTACAACATGGATGAACCTGGAAAACCTGATGCTGAGTGAAAGAAGCCACAGACAAAAGGCCACATATTGCATGATTCCACTGGTAAGAATTCATGCCCAGAGGAGGCAAATCCATAGGGGCAGCAAGTAAGTAGTGGTCGCCCAGCATCAGGGCTGGGGGAGGGAATGGGGAGTGACTGACTGACTTGTGAGAGCTAAACCAGTAGGCGCCAAGCATCTGACCTGGCTCCCATCTCCTAGCCAGCTGCTCCCAGGCCAGGGAAAATGCCTCCTGAGCCTCAGCCGGGGCCAAGTTCGAGTAGAATCCCCACAGGCGAGCGGGCGAATCTAGGTGTGCCGCGCGCTCCCATTCTTCCCCCAGCCCGTCAGCTGGTCACCTGGCTGGACTCCCTGTCCCCAGGAATGGACCTACTCTTTTCCAGGTGCAGGAACAGCTTGGGCATGCTGGCGGACGTGTCCTGCTGCCGGCGCTTGGGCTGAGGTGAGGCGCTGCTCTCGGAGAGCCTGTCGCTGTTGGCGGAGTGGCGAGTGGACCGTCTTAGAGATTGCATGGCTTCAGGCTCAGCTTTGCGCCTTTTGGGAGTGGCTGGTTCACCTGTGGTCGGCTGACTCTCCGTGGACTGTGGGGTGGACGGATTCAACAAAGGGGGGCTTGGAGAGAGCTCCTCCTGGCTCCTACGGAAGAAATGGAGGGTGTCATGCATCCCAGGCCTGGGGAATCTTTGCAAAACCTGGAGAGGTTCTTGAGTGTCCTCCTTCAGACAGATTAGAAAGCACACTCAACTCCACTCCAGGTTATAAACATTCACTTCCAAGTGTGCAGAAACAAGTACTTTCTTAAAAAGCAACTAAACATATTCACTCATTTGAACCCTCTTAATCACTGTCCTTTCTACATTTGCCTAAGAGAAGGTTCTCAACTGGGAGGGATTTTGGCCTGCCAGTGGGACATGGACACCGTCTGGAGAGTCTGGGTTGTCACAGTTGGGAAAGTGCTACTGGCATCTAGTGGGTGGAGGCCAGGGATGCTGCTCAACACCGTACAGGGAAAAGCAGCCCTCAGCAAGCAGCGCCGGCAGCAGGACCCGTCCGCCAGCCTGCGCAAGCTGGTCCTGCACCTGGAAAAGAGCAGGTCCATTCCTGGGGACAGGGAGCCCAGCCAGCTGGCGGGCTGGGGGAAGAATGGGAGGAGCGCATGGCACACCTAGATTCGCCCACTCGCCTGTGGGGATTCTACTCGAACTTTCAGCCCCAGGGCAAGAAACCCTGGTTACAAAAATAAGAATACTGCATTATCTCACCGTATGTAACTACTAAAAGCCTCAAATTTATGAAACACAGCTCACCAGGGGCACTGGGAACCTAGAGATTCAGAGTAGGGCATGGGGACATGGAGACAGGTCCCCAATGAGTTGTACAGGCCTCTCACCTGGGTAACACCAACAGGAAAGGAAGACAGGCTGAGAAAAGACATCACAAGGCAGACAAGAGAACCAGGAGACAGGAGCCAGGAGCCAGGAAGGGAGAAGGGGACAGAGGGAAAAAGTGGCTTATGCAGAGCACAGCGTGGCAAGTGGCAAGGTAGGAGTGCCCGCCTTCAGGTGCAGTCAGCAGGGGTAGTGGGAGACAAAGGCAGATGGAAAGCAGGCAAGAGGCAGACGAGTGGGAATCATGAGAACAGAGCACTCTCTCAGGAGAGGCACGAGGGAGAAGTAGCTTGTACAAGTAAAGACTTTAGGTTGGGGGTTTTTGTTTCCCTCAAGGAAGAGAGATTTGGGCATGCAGGCAGCACAGCAGGAAGGAAATTAACCTTTACTTGAAGGGCTGGCCCGTCATAAACTTCCTCATTTAACAATAACTACCCAAGGAGGCAGATGTTCTTTCCCAGTAGAGAGGCAGAAGAGGCTCAGAAGGCATCTCTCCAAGTCCTACAGCCAGTAAGCGAGGGAGCTAAATTCAAACCCACATCTCCTACCCTTCTTGGGCCGTGTTCTCATCACTCCACTGTCTTTGGGAAGAGGGGGAGAGCTGCTCAAAATCCAACCAAGTTCTCTATGTTGGAACTTACCTACTAGTGCTTGTGGCACTTTCCTTAATGGGAAGAAAAAATTTGGACGAAGTCACCTTTTTATACTGAACTTGTTCATATGGATACAGCAAAAGCAATGGGAGAGTATAATCAAAGGTTATTCTTAATCCATCCACCATTTCCTTACAAAGGTCAACGCTGGAAGGATTAAAAGGAAGCGATTAGAGATGCAAGAAACAGAACTTTCCAAAATGTCACAATGGGGTTGTACATTTTTAATAAGGCAGACTTTTAAATACTATATACTAGATGTACACACATAAAGAATGAAATGAATCTGTAGATGCCAACAATAAAGAATTAAAAAGGAACATTGGTTTATAACATAAAGTACAGGAAGTATGCTAGTATTTTTAACTTACAACATTGAACATAGATAATTCCTTTCAGGACCCACGAGGAGCCCAAGCAGCTTGTGCTGCAGAAGGCAGACTGATGCCAATCACTGGGGGCTGAAGGGGGCGGACCTGATGGCCGCTTCATACCTGTTTGGACTCAAAAATCTATCTGTCCAACTTTACTCCAACTGGGTTGAGTGCGCCAAGGCAGACTATAAGGACAATTACTCAGACTGGAATAAAGACATGTTTGTAAACAAGCTTTGGCAAAATTCTCATTGCCTGTTTTGGTGCTTCTCAAGGAAGAAAAGTGTTATCTCCCTAAATTACATCACTGAACAAACTGGTCCTGGTGTTGCATCCAGACCAGATACAGTTAGTGAACATTTCAAAAAAGAGACAGCATTTTGATACTAAATTGTATACTAAGTGATATATTAAATGAATACATAATAACTGCAATGGAGACAGTGTTACCTCTCCTAAATAAAAGTCACCTTTCTAATACACAAAGAGAGAACCACAAGACGCCAACCCCCCTTCTCTCACTCACTTCTTTTCTGCTGGGATATAATGCACATTCATGGCGGCGTGTGCCATAGCATGATGATGACGAGGCCTCTCAGTGGCTGAAAAGGCTGCATTGATAGCAAAATGCTTCACGTAGGATTCCAAAATAGTTATGATGTTGGTCTGGCATGGAAGTTTCACTAACTGTTAACAAAAATGTACACAGCAGACACACTCATCCCACTGTACAGACCATATACTGTATACCCATGTACTGCATACCCTTTTCCTCCAACAAACAGTGGCCTTGTCTATATCACTTTTTAAACTCATAAATAAAGCCTACTCTGTTTGAAAAGAATTTTTAAAATACACTTTGAAGCTGATATTTTTCGTCTACCGATCACATCACCATATACACTACAGTATTAATTTTTTAAATAAATGCAAGCAGTGATTCTCATGTTAGTGATCCATTAGAACCACCTGGGGAGCCTCTAAGACTATGTGTGCAGCCACCCCCACCACAGGTCAATTTTGCCTTACCCTCTGGGTGGAAGCCCAGGCATCAGGCCTTTGCAAAGCTCCCTAGAGGACTCTAATGGGTAGGCAGGGCTGGGAAAGACTGTGCACACTTGAATTCAATTAGCAGCAGAGCAGTACTGTCAGATAATTTTAAAGCCCGGCTCAGTACAAAACTTAAAATAGAAATCTCATTGCCCCAAGGTTCTCAATTATTTGACTCTATGATTACAAAATATGGCTAAATACACATTCTATTACAAGTCCATGTACTGTATACCCTTTTCCTCCTGTTGATGTAATAGCAATCATCCTCCAGCTTCTTCTTCAGAACTTCAGGGATGTCTATAGTTATTGTTCTTTCTTCCATCTCCTTTTTTCTGTGCAGCTCCAGTCTTTCCTTCTGCAATATCACAATTCCGTATTTTTAAGCTTCTTAAAACAGTAGGAGAGTCCATATCCAAAGGACTAACGCATGAGGGCCTACTATGATACAAACCCAGTTAATCCTCAACATTTACCACAGTAATGATACCTTGTTTTAGGACACTAACCACATTGCAAATGCTTGCTTACTTTCTTCCCCATTTAATTTTACTAGTAGGATTTACATTAACTTTGAAGGCAGGCATAAGATGCCAAACTCTAATACACAACATTTAAAAATAGTCACCATTATAAAAATAAAGTCCACAATTTCATTGAAAATGAAGAGGTAAGTATGATCTGTGGAAATACTTTATGGCGAGAAAGAGTCACCAAGAGGTTCCTACAGTGACTATAAATGAGCGTTATTTCTCCTTAAATATGAAGTACAACTTTATACTACTGGGTTAAAAAATGTATTTTACAAAATGATTCACAACTGGAGAATTTTACCACTAAAATATATACCAAAGACAAAGTTTTCACACTAAAAACTTTTACCACTTCAGTCTTTTCTTCAGTGTCACTTTCTTCACTCACTGCTTCATTCTTTTCTTCACTACTGTCATCAGAGGAAGTGCTTATTGCTAGGTGAGACAAAAAATACCAAGCAAACCTGTGTTATACACTTCCCTAACTCTTACAAGTCTTTTAAGGCGGAATGTGTATCCACTGCTGATAACAATAAACTGCAGTCCTCCATATATTTTAAATGCTGAACACAAATGCTGTACCTTTCAGGATAGAAATTTATTGTGAAAAAGATAACACCAACTTCAATGAATGCAAAACGCACCCAAGAAAATGATCTGGAAGTATTTAGTCACCTACGATCCTGTGGTTACCTGCTGCACGGGAAAGTGAGGCCACGGCCCAGGAGGTACCAAGAAGAAAACATGAGCATGGACCCCTGAGGGATGAGTATAAAGACAGTGGTCGAGAAGCAGCGATCAGGAGCATGACTGATGAGGACTAGTTATGGACTTATTGCCTGCTACCTCACTTGTCAAAAACAAAAGGGGCAAAAATTACATGCAACGAGCTTAAAAAATTTCCCT